AATTTATAAATTATCAAGGGCTCATGAGGGAGGGGGGAGCGGGGAGGGAGGGGAAAAATGAGGACCTAATGCCAGGACCTTAAGTGGAGAGGAAATGTTTTGAGAATGATGAGGAAAATGAATATACAAATGTGCTTTACAGAATTGATGTATGTATGGATTGTGAGGAGACTTGTATGAGCCCCTAATAAAACTATTAAAATAAATAAATAAATGAACGAATAAATAAATAAATAGAAGGGAAAAATAGGGAAGTGGAAAAGCTCTTGGGGTGATAGTAGATGGCAACCCCACGTGTTACATAGTAGACCTGCCCTATAATGTTTTCTTTATAGAAGCAGATCACCAGGTGTTTCTTCTACAGCACTTCGGGGGTGGATTTGAACCACCAACCTTTTGTTTAGTAGTTCAGTGCAAACCCTTTGCGCCATCTAAGGAATATCCAAAGACAGAGAGGGGTTGAAATCCAGAGGGCTTTCAATAACAGAATTAAAACCTTAGAGTCATCTTTGAGAAAGACAAAGATAAAGCCTTTGTAGGCTTTAGCCTGACGATTGCGCAGTTTTGTCTTTGAATGCTACCAACGGCAGAAACAAATAACTCTGAAGTAATTGCTTCCAGGAAAAGGAAAAGGGGAGAAGAAAGGGATAAGTGGAAAACAGAGGCTGAATAATTGAATGAAGATAAGTAGGGGCGGGAGGCAGAAGTGCACCGAAGGTGACCAAACCTAACTCACAGTAACCTTATAATGGAAAGCCTTGACTTTCTCCCAAGGGTAGGCCAGTGGTTAGCTGAACTTGTGGTTAGCAGCACAACGTATAACTACTATGCCACCAAGGGTCCTCCCACCTGGGGTTAAGTGGTAGGGTTGGGGGGGCATGAACCAACAAACCCCCAAGCCAAACTCACTGCCATGAGTAAATTCTGATTCATAGCGACCCTATAGGACCCTATAGCAATGAGACTGCTCCTGTGCGTTTCAGAGATTAAATTTTTTTTATTAGAGATTAAATTTTTCAGGGAGCAAAAAGTTTCATTTTTTTTCTCACAGAGTGGCTGGTGGGTTTGAAGTACCAACCTTTCAGTTAGCAGCCCAACATGTAACTCATTAGGCTACCACCACCAGGGTTGGAAGATCTTCCCTTAATTCCTCATTCCAGAACCGCCCCCCTCCAAGCAGACCTCCAGCGGACCCCCCACCCCACCCCCCCAGTCATTAATCTACTGCCTCTCCATTTATGGTGTTAATGTGAACTTTCCGGCTCAGTTTAGGGCTTCATTTAACTTTGAGACTGTGCTTTCACAGTGAGAAGGAAGGGTAGGGCATTAGGACCCAGCGATTGCTGTGGTGAGAGGTTGAATCTCGGATCTCTCAATTTTTCTCTCCAGCTCCCTCCTCTCCCTTTGTCATTCTAGCTGCCAGCTGCCTCCGCAGCGTCCCTCCGGCTCCTCAGAGCTAACTGCTTTCGCCTTAGACGGACCAAGTGAGCCCAGCAGAAGGATTTGTTGGGAACTGCCCTGGTGACCCCATGGCATCCCCCAGAACCGTAACTATCGTGGCCCTCTCTGTGGCCCTGGGACTCTTCTTTGTTTTCATGGGGACGATTAAGTTGACCCCCAGGCTCAGCAAGGATGCCTACAGTGAGATGGTAAGTAAGGCAAATGGGTAAAGAGAGGTGCACCCAGCAAAGGATTGCGAGCACCTCGCCCCACCTCGCCTTCGGGTTTTCCGTCCCTTTCCTTTCACCCTTACCCCTACTCCGGACTCCTTCTATCTCCCCAACTACTTTGCGGCTGGGCTTGGCAAAAAGGGATTGCATTTGTGGGCTGGAAGCAACTGTTCTGCAGATACTGCATGCCAGTGGGGGGAGGGGTTACCCAGTGAGGACTCCCCTACCCCCTATTTCACCCCCTACCCTCTGGTAAACCATCAGGCTAAGACCATTGTGGCACCTGTCATTGGCATCAGCCTTCCAGCACACGCCCAAAGTCCTAACAGCCTGTCTGCAAGTAGGATTCTTTCCCTCGGAGCTAAGAGTTTAGCAAGCTGGAGAGTTTATTTATCTGGGGAAGGACAAAGGGGAAGAAGCATGAGGGGGTGAGGGGGGGGTGGGAAGCCTGAGACTGGGCTACCAACCCCTACAGTTTTTACAGGCTGGCCTGGCATTCACATCGAGAGCTGGTAGTTAATTCCCTAAGCTTCTTGGGTATGTATCTGTATCCTTAAGACAAAACCGTCTTGGCCCAAATAAAGGTCATTGAGTGCCTGGTTTCTGAAACCGGTTTCTCCAGGGAAGGCTGATTCCCATCCCACCCCCTAATTTGCAAAATCTTCCAAGTCTGCTCCCCGCCCCCCTGCGAACCAGTCTGTATTCACCACCTTGCCTCCCAGGGCCAGAGCCCTCTGCAGGGTTTCCCCCTCCGCAGAGTTGGAATCACCAAAGGTGACTGGCCAAAATAGCTCCTCCGCAACCTGGGGGCTGGGCTGCTAGCCACAGTTGGGTGTGCTGAGGACTTGCTCTCTTGCTGTAGACTACTAGGAGATAGCAAAGGGATGTTTCCAGCACTTTCTGACTCGCCTCTCCCCCAGCCACTTTCTCTCTTCATTTCCCTGCCCAAGGGAATCTGCTTCTCACTGCTTTTGCCAGATTGCCAGAAATGGGAGGAAGCCCATGCCTGGGCTCTCAAGGTCAAGAAGGAAAGGAGCTTAGGGGAAGAACGGAAAGGGAGAGAGAGAAGTAGCAGCAAAAAGGGACTCCTATTATGGTCGAGACAGGGAGAAATAGACCGACACGTTGAGAGGAATAGCTAGCTCTCTTGGAACCCACTGTGAAGCCTTCCAGGGCCCCTCAACGTGAGCTGCAAAGCGATGGAGACTGGCACATTGTAGATGCTCAGAACATTTTTACAGGAAGCTCGGGCTTCTGTCTCAGGGTTTGAGAAGATGCTTTCTGTGTTTCCCTCACCACAGGATCACCCTAGGATAGGGGAAGAATAGCTGTGATTCAAGGGCCCCCAGTTCTAGTCCTGGTAGCAAATCCTAATGTGCTTCTTCTTTTCTTCTCCACTCCTCCCAGCATGTATGACCAGATGGAATTGAAATCAGGTCAGAATGAATATCCAAGGCAGCCTGCACTGGGGAGGGGTGTGAAGGGTGGGGCAACAGAAACCATCCAAAGGTTTAAAGAGGGTGGATGTGGCAGAGACAAGATAGCGGGGAAATTAATGCCACTATATTTTTATCTTGGTGGTAGTAGTTGGGTATTATACACAACTGAATGTGCTTTTGCTTTTTTTTTTTTTTACTTTCCATGTATACATGTATGTATATATTGGTGTGTGTATGTGTATATTTGTGTGTTGTATATGTGTGTAGGTTAATTTTTAGCTGTCCTTTTCCTTAGAGTACCCTTCTTTGGTATATAGAGACTAGCAAATTGTAGATGCTCAGAAAATGTTTGCAGGCAGCTCTGGGTTCTGTCTCAGGCTTTGAACTGATGCCCACCCAGATCCTGCTTGGCTGCATTAGAGGTCCCTTCAAGCTGTACCCTAAGGATAGTGTTAGTCTCTGCAGGTAATCCAACTAAGATGGAGTCACCAGGAAGCTTCCTAGCAGCCTGGCAGGAACTCATGGGGGACCGACCACAAATGGGTTTACAGTAGGCGTTTTCCTCAGGAGTGTAGCTATCTATTATAATCTACTGAGAGGCAGATGAAGCAAATATGAAGATTTCACAGCATACAAAGGGACATATTTAAATAAGTATTATCTAATACAACAGTACAGAACCATTGTGGGGGGGGGGGAGTGTTTCTGTGCTTCAGGGCATCAGGAGGGAATGGAAGGACTAAGTCTAACTGGGAAGGTAGACTTCACAGTGGCATGAGGCTTGAAGAGAATTTTCTGACAGCCTTTTTCCCAGGGTCCCCTCCTGCATTGGGCCACAGGCTAGAATTGACCAAACTGCATAGACCCTGGGCTTGGTTCAACTTTATTCTTCAATCCATAGGAAGGTGGGGAGACAGAGCCGTAGTACAAAGAAGGTGCTAGATATGTATTTGTTGAATGGATGGGTGAATGAATGAGTCCTTGTAGCATTGTTTGGGCTGCCTGCCACCCTTCAGATTTCTCAGATGTGTTCTTGATTATGCAGATCAAGAGCCATTTTTTTCCTTCTTCTTTGAAGGGGGCCACAGACCCTCTGAAACCCAACCATAGGTAAATTGGGATGATTATCTGGGATTTTCTAGCTTCTATGTAGGAGTAAGTCTTGTGCATTGATGGAGTTAGTCATGTATGCACTGCAGTAGTTTTCCTTAGAAGATGTCCAAGTGTTGTGACTGGCATTGCTTTACGATTTGTTGTTCTTTAAAACCTCTCTGTGAGGACGATTTATTTGCTTAGTTATTCTCATTTTGCTGATGGATTAACTGAAACAGAGCAAATTGAATGACTTACTCAAGGCCATAGGGTTAGTCGTTGTTGGGGCAGTGTTAGAAACCAAATCCCCGTGTTCCCAGGAAAGGTGATTAATGGTTTCAACCGGTTTTGGGATGTTAGAAGCCACAGATGATTCTAGAATGATCTGGAATTGTACCAACTCAATTACACTGATCCATATTTGGGGGAGGGATTGTTTTACTTTGAAACACATTATTCCGATTTAGATTTCTTTCTCCCTATTCTTTACAGTCTAATCCACCCCTCCCCCATGTTCTGGAATCACTAGTGTCATAGTTAAGAGTGATGCCCTACATAAAGGATGGCTGCTGAAAACCAATCATCCAAATGGCTATATGTTTCTCTCCTGTCTCTAGTAGGGACCCAAGAAAGTCTAGTGGAAAGAGCACAGGCTTTGGAGTCATGCATTCCTGTGTTCAAATCCTGGCACTCTTGGTGTCTCTGTTTCCTCATCTGTAAAATCGAAATCATAATAGCTCAGAAGATTGTTGTGAATATCAACTGAGATAACATATGAAAGCATCGGATACCGTGTTTTTGAAATGCTCTTGGCGAGGAGATGATGATCCTTGATTCCATTTTATGTGATGCTTTCCTGCTTCATTTGAATATCTAGTTAGAGGGAATTAAGTCAGCCATTTAAAAGAGTAAAGTGAACCCCTGAGAACAGACTTTCATGCAGTCAGCTAGCACTGAAGACTCTTCAGTTGTTGCTATGGAATTAGCCCAGTGGAGTCCATGTAAGACTTCCAGAATCAGCTCTGAATACCTTATTTGTCATGCATTCTCGCTATTTCCTCCAGCTCAGCCAAGGCCCACAATGAGAACTCTCCACCCCCTGTGAACTCACTCTGACCAACCACTTCCTTAGCTAAAGGGCACCATCAACTTACTTGAAATTGGGAGACAACATTTAGTGACTGGGAGCACAGAAATGCTGCCTTGCTCTAAATTTGGTATTCATACTTTCTGTAACAGTGGTTTCATTCCATAAGCACAGAGAGCCACATAGGAAATGGTAAAAACAAACAAACAAAATCTTATCACAGTGATTTTGGCCCTGAGGACAACTGGATAAGTCCCCGATTCTTTGCATCTCTTCATGCCACACAGTAAAGGTTTGCTGATTTGATTGATTTGCTTACTTGGCGTTGAATGTCGTTCTGTTTGTGTAACCCTGGGAAATGTGCCTGATACATTTGGGCAATTTATGTAATGTTCATAGACAATCTTGTTTACTTCCAATCATTGGTAGTTATGCTTTCCAACTAGGTAATAAGTTAGCAATTCACTGATACTTAGCCCGGCTCGCTTTCTGAGGTGCAACAGTATGTTCATCTCCTCAGAGAGGAAACTGAGACTCTGAGATGTGTAGTGATTTGGCTTTTGTTCACACAGTTAGCCATCACAAGCAAAATAAGCCTCGTCCATTGGAATTTATGCCAGAGAGAGAGCTTGTGCTAGCCCCATTTGGACAACAGATGTGCTTATTTCAGAGCAACTTTTGACTTACAGTAGAGCCCAGACTTTTCTGCCCAAAGATGCAATGTGGGAAAGAGCCACATCAGTTAGTAAAACCGGGCTTGCCAAATTCCTCTTTGGTGGACATTAAATGCTGGTGACCAGTAGAATTACTTGAAAGGTATCTATCTATCAGTCACATAAGTATTTGGTAATTTAGTAATCTATGGATTCTCTAGAGCCCTGCTGATGCTGTGGGATAAGGATTAGGGTACTTGCTTAATGGTCCAGGCTCAACTACACCAGCTGCTCCACAGGAAAAGATAGTCTTTCTGCTCCTGAAAAGATTGACAGTCTCAGAAACCCAACTTAAGGTCGATTTGCGTCAGAATTGACTTGATGGTTGTCAGTTTGGGGAGGGGTTTGGGTCTCCACTCTGCACTCCCCTTCATTCACAATGATATGATTTTTTGTTCTTTGATATTCCTGATACCTGATGCCTTCGACACCTTGTGGTCACACAGGCTGGTGTGCTTCTTCCATGTGGGCTTTGTTGCTTCTGAGCTAAATGGCCACTTGGTTATCTTGAAGCCTTTAAGACCCCAGACACTATATCTTTTGATACAGCATCATCAGCTCTCTTCACCACATTTGCTTATGCACCCACTTTGTTTTCAATGATCGTGTCGATAAGGTGAGCATCATGGAATGCCAGTTTAATAGAAC